GTTCGTCAGGGGCAAATTACGCCCCTGGGCGCCCCCGTGGCAGAGGGTCTCCAGCCGCAGCAGTTGGAGGGGGTGTTGGAGGAGCTGTTCCCGAGACAGCCTCCCTTCACACCTCCTCCGATGATGCCGCGTGGCAGTGATGGAGAGGCCAGCGGCGTCAGCGCTGCTGCGGTTCCTGCCATCACCGAGGAGGAGTTCGCCGCGGCCGTGGATAAACTCCGGGGCAAGAATGTCGCCCCGGGTCCGGATGGTATCCACGGCCGCGTCCTGGCCTTGGCCCTAAACACCCTAGGGGACCGACTCCGGCGCTTGTTCAATGCGTGTCTGGAGTCGGGACGGTTTCCCAATCAGTGGAAAGCGGGTAGAGTGGTCCTGCTCCGCAAAGCGGAGCACCCCGCAGGTTCGGTGGTTCCCTCGGCGTTCCGCCCCATAGTGCTGTTGGACGAGATCGGCAAGCTCTTCGAGAGAATCTTGGCGGGCCGACTCGTCCAACACCTGTCTCAGGTAGGTCCCGATCTCAGCCCGAAGCAGTTCGGGTTCCGAGAGGGGCGCTCGACGATAGACGCGATCTCGCGTGTGCGCTCCCTCTCGGAAGAGGCGACGTCCCAGGGTGGGGTGTTGTTGGCGGTCTCGTTGGACATAAAGAACGCCTTCAACACCCTGCCCTTTGCGACTATTAGGGAGGCGCTGAAATACCATCGCGCGCCTCCCTACATTCGGGACGTGATCGGGGCCTATCTCGAAGACAGGTCTGTGCTATGCACGGGGCGGAACGGTGTTGTAGTGCCGAGGGACATGCAACGCGGTGTTCCACAGGGGTCGGTTCTGGGCCCGATCCTGTGGAACATCGGGTATGATTGGAACCTGCGGGGCGCCCTTGTAACGGGCACTGACCTCGTGTGTTACGCGGATGACACCTTGGTCACTGCCCGGGGGCGGGACCTACGGGAGGCTACCCGCTTTGCCACGGCAAGCGTGGCACTGGTCGTCGGCCGAATAAGGAGGCTTGGGCTCCAGGTGGCGCTGGAGAAGACCGAGGTCCTATGTTTTCATGGGCCTCGGCGCGCGCCACCTCCGGATGCCCAGCTGGTCGTCAGTGGCCAGAGGGTGGGGGTCAAGCCCTGTATTAGGTATTTGGGGCTTGACCTGGACAGTCGTTGGAGCTTCCGCGCTCATTTCCGGAACCTGGTCCCTCGCCTTATGGCAGCCGCCGGCGCTCTTAGCTGGCTGCTGCCAAACGTGAGGGGCCCGGGAGAAGGTTCCCGCCGCCTATACCTCGGCGTGGTGCGGTCCATGGCCCTGTACGGGGCCCCCATCTGGGTGGGGGCCCTAGGCAGGGAAAATGTGGCCTGTCTTAACAGGCCACACAGGGCCATGGCCATCAGGGCCATTAGAGGCTACCGCACCATATCCGGGGAAGCGGCGGGTCTGCTGGCGGGGTCTCCTCCGTGGGACTTGGTAGCGGAGCTCCACGCGTCAGTGTACCACTGGCGCGCGGAGCGACGTTCCATGGGGGAGGCACCCGCTGGTCATGAGATCGAAGCGCGGAGGTCCGACTTTCGGCGGATCCTCAGGATCGAATGGCGGGCAAGGCTAATGAGCCCGTCAGCCGGCCTGAGGACCGTCGAGGCTGTCCGTCCCATCCTCAAACGGTGGATGAATAGGAGATGGCCACTGACGTACCGCATGACGCAGATACTGTCCGGGCACGGATGCTTCGGGCGGTATCTGTGTCATGTGGCGAGGAAGGAGCCGACGACCGGCTGCCACGAGTGCGGAGGTGTTGAGGACACGGCGCAACACACGCTGGACGAATGTCCAGCGTTCGAGAGTGAGCGCCGTGTCCTCACACGAATAGTGGGGGACGATCTCTCGCTGCCGAATTTAGTTCGGAGGATGGTCAGTAGCGAGAGATCGTGGCTGGCGGTGAGCTCCTTCTGCGAGGAAGTTATCTCGCGGAAGGAGGCGGCGGAAAGGGAGCGGGAGTCAGCTCGTCCCGCTTCCCTCCGCCGCAGAAGAGCCAGGCCTAGAGGTGGGAGCGTATCCAACTCCGCCCCCCTCTATCCCCCACTGGGGCCGGGGTGACTGCCTTGAGGGAGGCAGTCCCCCAATCCAAAGGCCCCGGAGGTGTGCGCGTGTACCCACACGCCTCCACAATGGAGTAGGGCGAAATAGGTCGCCCTAACCACAAAACGAGATGGGGCCTGCCCTACAACATCTACAGGGCGGGCCGTCGCCATCGGAGCTGGGGTAGAATGCACTCGCGATCCCCTGGCTCCGGCATAGGCGCTCGTAGGTACACCGTGTGGTTTTTAGTGAGTCAAGTCTCACACACCACCTCGCCTTCCCTCCGGCGAGGTGACGGTCTTTTGAAGATTTTCCACACGTTAAAAAAAAAAAAAAAAAAAAGGTTAGGTTAGGTTGGGGCGTGGGACAGGATGGGCAGCACCAAGGGGTGCCGTCCGCCCAAACAGGCGGCGAGAGTGGAGGAGATGGAGGCCGAGCCCGGCCCGTCACCTCCCACCACGGGCCTCGCGGCAGTCGATGCGGGGGCGTCGGCTGTCACCTAAGGCGGGATGAGGCCAGGAGTTGGCGCGCGTGGTGTCCGCGTGCGCCACTCAGGAGTATGCCCGCGCTGCCGGGGATCACGGTTGAATGTTTCGATCCCAACCCCGGCACCACAGCGCGCGGAGGACACCAAGGGGTTTTAGCCGGTAGGAGTCCGGCAGTACCCCCACGCTTCCCCCGAGGCGTGCGGGTCTCCATGACGGATTTCCCCTTGTTAAAAAAAAAAAAAAAAAGGTTGGGGCGTGTGGTCGGGCAACCTCCTAGTATGGGCCTGCCATTGGGAGGCTTCCCCATCCTCGTGGATACGTCCGCGGGGAACGGTGGCCGAGCAATGGTTTGGTTCTGGTACGCCCCGGGCGGGATAGTAGACGTTCCTTCGGGATACTGCTACTATGTCGGCCAGTAGCCCGGCGAGTAGGGGGTGGGCGCTGTTTAACGGCGCCCGTCCAATTATGGTGGCGTGCCACCTAGGCCGATTTCGGCGAGAGGGCGACGCGAGCGGCTAGGACAATGGGTCCTGACCCCAACCGGGACCCGTCCAGGCCGTGAGCGAAGCATTCGGGTCGGGTCCGGTGGTGCTTTGCGCATAGCCGGACTGACTCACACCGCAAACTTGCACTGGGTGTTGATGACAGGAGGTCGTCCACCTAGTGTGAGAGCGGGGGCCCTGGGTTCGCCCGGGGCTGCGAGGAGCCAACCTCTATAAAAAACCGCTCGCGGTCGGCGTCAGAGTTGATGAGGAGGACGGAGTTGCGGGCAGGAGTGCCCGTAGACGACGGAGTTATCTCTGGCCAAGACTGCGAGTGTACCTTCATACCGTAAACTTGCACTGGGTGTGATGACAGGAGGTCGTCCGCCCAGTGTGGGAGCGGGGCCCTGGGTTCGCTCGGGGCTGCGAGGAGACAACCTCTATAAAAAACCTCTCGCGGTCGGAGTCAGAGTCATGAGGAGGACGGAGTTGCGGGCAGGAGTGCCCGTAGACGACGGAGTTGTCTCTGGCGAAGACTGCGAGTGTATCTTCATACCGTAAACTTGCACTGGGTGTGATGACAGTGGTCGTCCGCCCAGTGTGAGAACGGGGGCCCTGGGTTCGCTCGGGGCTGCGAGGAGACAACCTCTATAAAAAACCTCTGGCGGTCGGCGCGGCTGTCGACGAGGAGGACGTCGTCCGGGCGAGGAGCGCCCGCAGACGACGGAGTCGACGCGGCGTGAGAAGACAGCGGGAGGATCGTTGCTAGGCGTCTTCGGACGCTGGGCAACACTCGAGGAGGCAACACTACCGGCGCCTACGGTTTAACCGTGTGGCGCGGTAGTGCTTATGGAGGATACGGTCCCGGAGGCGCATCGCGAATCTGGGTAAGTATTCACGAGTAGGCAGCTCCCGATTTTAACATGTTAAGATCGGGAGTCCTATCTGCGGAGGACATCCCCGGGCTGCGCCTTGGTGCGGCTTGGTGGGCAGACTGCTGACGGCGCAGGGAGTACGTCGCCGAAGGTAAGTATGCGTGTGTCGCCCCGACCCGTCGGGGCACCGGGCGGAGCGGTGCCTTCAGGACCGCTTCCGTCCGGCGGGAAGGCTATACGCGGTCGCGGCTGCGGTGCGCTTCTAGCGCAACGCAGCGGCGATCGCGGCCTTTGCGTGGGGGGCGGAAGGTGTATTTTCACCCGAAGCCCCAACTTGGACACTCGGAGCGGAGGATGTAGGGGCATCCGAAGTTCCCAGGAGGCGAGTGATCCGTGGAGTGTGGGCGCGGAGTGGTCCCCGCGCCCAACTTCGGCGGCTCCTTCACTGGAGACCCGCGGCCGGAGTGCGGTCGAATGCAAATGCGAACCCGCACGAAGGCGTCTTTCGTGGTTCATGGAGGAACACCGAGGGGTTTTGGTGGGTCGGATTCGTCCAGTCCCACAGTATTCGTCCGCTCCCCTTCATAAAGGCGGACGTTTCGGTATTGAAACCTTTCCCCTCGTTAAAAAAAAAAAAAAAAAAAAAAAGGTTGAATAGGAGATGGGGCGTGAGTCGGGCAACCTCCAAGTATGGGCCTGCCATTGGGAGGCTTCCCCATCCTCGTGGACACGTCCGCGGGGAACGGTGGCCGAGCAATGGTTTGGTTCTGGTACGCCCTGGGCGGGATAGTAGACGTTCCTTCGGGATACTGCTACTATGTCGGCCGATAGTCCGGCGAGTAGGTAGGAGTGTATATAGTGTATATAGTTAGGTTAAGTTATTTATTTGTAAATAGTTAGGTTAGTTTTGTAAATTCTTCTTGTTTTGTCTTCTTTTGTTTTTTCTTCATTTTATTTTTGTTTCTTTTTAGTTGTTTTAGTCTATTCTTTTCTATCCTTTGTTCTTTCTGTAGTTTTGTTTGTTTTCCTCTTCCTTTTCTATTTTTGTATGCGGGACCAAACCCGGGTAAAAAAGGAACAAAATGAGAATGGCCGAAAGTAAAAAACATATACTCCAGGGAGGTACCACCCGTAAATCGGGTGGAGAATCCTCCACCGTCGCACCGGGTAAGCCGGGGGCGGTCAGCCCCATGTATCTGGAGGGGGCAACCGAGGCCAGAAGAGGGGGAGTGGTTGGAAGTGAGAGAGAGGTAATGGTGGTTTTGAGGAGAGATTGGGATTTGGACAGGAGGAGCAGGAGTGAGTGTGACGAGGCAGAGTACTACATGGAGCGCTCTGACTCGTCACTCTCACTGTACTCTGAGGATGGCGCTGTAGGAGGAGGCGAGCCCAGCACATCTCGGGCTTCGCTGCGCAAACGCAGAATGATCGAAGTGGAGGTAGACCCGGACTTGACATTCGATGAGGAGGTGGAGGTCGTGGAAGTGGTCGCGACCCCAAGGCCTAAACAAAGGCCGCCACCGACCCGAGACCCGGATTTGGAAAAGGCGAAGGCCGATTTGGCCGCCGCCACTCGGAGAGAAATGGAGACGAAGGCAACACCTGCACCGAAGAAAGCGAGTGCTCCGAAATCGGCGGCGCGCCCTACCACCCGCAGACCCTCAGATGAGGATGCGCAGCGCGCCGACGTGTTAGTGTCGGAGATAAAAGAGAGTGCCCTCAAGGTTCTAGAGGCAGTGAGGAAATCCGGCCACTTGAAGGGCACAGTAGTGAAGGAGATAAAGGACGCCGTCGCTACCATCCGCGCGGCGTCTGAATCTCTTGACGGGAGGACAGCGTCAACCGAGTGCGCAGCTCTGCGCCGAGAGAATTCCCGGTTGTCACGTGACTTGGCGGACATGCGGGAGATGATGACCGCAATGAGGGAAGAGTCCGCCAAGTACTACGTGGAACTGAGGGATTTGAAAAGGAAAACCATGGGGTCTGCCGCCCAGAGCTCCGACGAGCTGGCGATGCTCAAGGCGGAGAGAGCAGAGTGGGAACGCGAGATTGCCGCAACCCGCAACTCCTTCGAGGAGTTAATGAAGAAGAGTTCTGAGGACCGGTTGGCGTTGTCAAAGGCGCAAAGTGAGTTGGCGGCAGCCAAAGTCGCACTGGCTAACCAGCCACAAAGTGCGGCCATGGACGTGACATCCGGCGCCCAAGGTGTTGAGTCGAGCGAAACGCCACCCATCACCGAGGGCGCCGAGGCGAGAATAGTCCGCCAAATCGGAGACATTTTTAATGCCCGGTTTGAGCGGATTGAGGAGCTTGTGGGCAGGACTCAAAAACCGCCGCCTAAAAAGACCACGGCTGCACCCCGAACACCTGGGGCAGCCAAGAAAGGAGGAAGTACGGCCCCTGTAGCCAGTACTAGTGGAGCAGGGGTGAGCGCCTCGCAGCCGGCGCCATCCTCATCGGAGCAATGGACGACCGTAGTCCGGCGAGGAAAACGGGCCAGTGCAGCAAAGGGTCAGCAGTCGGCCCCAGCCACACAGGCGCCCACAGGTGGGGCTAAGACGGGCCAGAAGAAGGCCACCACGGAGGCTGAGAGTGAGGCCACCAGAAGGAAAAGGGCACGGAAGCGTCAATTCCGTCCCCCGCGATCCTCGGCGGTAGTTTTAACACTGCAGCCGGGGGCCGAGGAGGCGGGATCGAGCTATAGCTCGGTGCTCCGAGAGGCCCAACAGAAAATCCAGTTGGACGCCCTCGGAATCACCGAGTTGGGCTTTAGGCTGGCCATAACGGGGTCTCGCATACTCGAGGTGCCGGGACCGGTGGAGGAGAGTGGCGGGAAGGCGGATGCCCTCGCCGCAAAACTGGCCGAAGTGTTACCGGCGGGTGTGGTCAGCGTGTCCAGACCAGTGAAGTCCGCGGAATTCCGCATCCTGGATCTCGACGACGCTACAACGGCAGCTGAAGTGGTGGCAGCCGTTGCGCGCGAGGGAGACTGCGCCGAGGCCTCCGTGAAAACGGGGGAGATCCGGCGCTCTCCCTCAGGGAGTGGCTCCATCTGGGTGCGCTGCCCTGTTGGTGCTGTCAAACGGCTGGTCGACGCCGGCAAGCTGAGAGTGGGGTGGACTATGGCACGGGTGCGGTCTTTGGACCCCCGGCCGATGCGGTGCTTCCGCTGCCTGCTCACAGGTCATGTGGGCCAGCGGTGCACCGCCAAGGAGGACCGCGGCGGAGCTTGCTTCCGCTGCGGACAAGACGGCCACAAGGCCGCATCGTGCACCGCCCCCTCGCCGCACTGCCCCTATTGCGCAGCGGCGAAGAAGAAGGCGGACCACCGTATGGGCAGCACCAAAGGGTGTCGCCCGGCGAAAGTGGCGAGAGTGGAGGAGATGGAGGCCGAGTCCGGCCCGTCACCTCCCACCACGGGCCTCGCGGCAGCTGACGCGGGGGCGTCAGCTGTCACGTAAGGAGGTATGAGGCCAAGAGTAGGCGCGCGTGGTGTCCGCGCGCGCCACTCAGGAGTGGGGCTGAAGAGCCCGCGCTGCCGGGGTTCACGGTTGAATATCACTTTGATCCCGTAACCCCGGCAACAAAGCGCTCGGAGGACACCAAGGGGTTTTAGCCGGTAGGAGTCCGGCAGTACCCCCACGCTTCCCCCGGGGCGTGCGGGTCTCCATGATGGATTTCCCCTTGTAAAAAAAGAAAAAAAAAAAAAAAAAAAAAAAAAAAAAAAAAAAAAAAAAAAAAAAAAAAAAAAAAAAAAAAAAAAAAGGTTGGGGCGTGGGTCGGGCAACCTCCTAGTATGGGCCTGCCATTGGGAGGCTTCCCCATCCTCGTGGATACGTCCGCGGGGAACGGTGGCCGAGCAATGGTTTGGTTCTGGTACGCCCCGGGCGGGATAGTAGTCGTTCCTTCGGGATACGGCTACTATGTCGGCCAGTAGCCCGGCAGGTTGGGCGGGTTTAGGATTCCTATGCCTCGACAAAAGTCGAGGACCCCGGAGTTAGGAACCCGCCCAACTTCTCTTTTAGTCTTCGTTTTGTTGGTTACGTCTTCTTTTGTTTTGGTTTGTTTTTTCTTCTTTTGGTTCTTGTTTTAATTTATTTTGGTTTTGGTTTTTCTTTGGTTTTATCTGTCTTTGTCTGTCTGTTCGTCTTTTCTGTCTTTTTGGTTTTCGTCTCTCTTTCTTTTCGTCGTTCGTGGCAGGAGTCCGGGACCACACCCGTAAAAAGGAACACTATGAATGGCTGAACGTAAAAAAAGGATACCCCAGGGAGGTACCGGTCGCTCTGCGGCCGGAGAATCCTCCCCCACCGCACCGGGTTTGCCGGGGGTGGGCCGTCCCAAGTACTCTGGGGGGGACGCGGACAGCCGGAGGAAGGAGTGGGAGGATGAAGTTAGGAGGTGCGTTGAGGCCGTGAAAGGGATTGAGGAGTTTGAGATCCACGTGGCCGGCATGGACTCCGAGTGCACGGAGTCCGGATTGTCGGCTGCGTCGGAGGACTGCCTCAATTCCATGTCCGTAACATCTGAGGACTGCCTCAACGTAAGGGTGAGCACTTCGCCCAAACGTGTCCGGCGGAAGAGGCGCGTCGTCGAGAGGCCGCAAGACCTGGACTCCGACGACGACGTCGAGGTTGTAGAGGTGGCGAAGCGGGTCCCGAGCCCGAAAGCCGAACTGGGGAAAGGGAAGAGCAAGCGTGCCACCCGAATGGAGACAGAGGGTTCGGCGTCTGACGCTGGGCCCTCCAGAGCCGTCTCCGCCCCAGTAACAGAGGTCCGTCGCGCTGATGAACTCGGCGCCACCATCGAGGATAGTGCCCGGAAGGTTCTTGCCGCGGTCAAAGTATCCGGCAACCTGAAGGGCACTATTATAAAGGAGATCAAGGACGCCATCGCCAACATCATGACGGCGTCCGAGATCCTAAAGGAGAGGTCGGCTGATGTCGAGGTGACTACCCTCAGCCGAGAGAATGCACGCCTGAGGAACGACTTGGCACATGCTAAGCTGATGTCCAGCGGAGCCATCGAAGAGGCGAAGGCCGATAAGCGGGAGATAAATGCCCTCCGAAAAACGGCACATTCTTCTGCCATCTTGGCTGAGGAGATTGCCCAACTCAAGGCCGAAAGGGAGGAGCTGCAGCGGGAGGCCCGGGAGAGCAGAAGGCTTCTTGAGGAGCTGAAGAAGACCAACGCTCAGACTCAGGCCTCTCTGCTGCAGGCGCAGCGCGATTTGGAGGAGGCGAGGACGGCCATCGAGCTCCCGCCAGTTACCATCGGGGGGACGGCGGCGGAAGCGCCGGAAGGTGCCACGCCCCTCACCCTATCGGAGACAGCCGAAGACCGGATTATCCGGCGAGTAGGCGAGATTATGGACGGCCGCTTCGCCGAGATGGAGGAGCGGATCTCGGCGAAGCGCAAGCGGCAACCCAAAGCCGCCAAGAGTTCGCCTGCTGCCGGATCATCCGGCCCAGCGGCCAATAGGGCCCCGCAGAACGGGGAGCCCATCGGGGGTGGAGACCCACAACCGTCGACTTCAGCCAATCGGGAGGGCTGGTCGACGGTAGTCCGGCGAGGGAAGCGCAAGGGCGCTGGCGCTAGCCAGACGGCTCCTGCCAATGCGCGCCCGTCGAAGGGGCCACGCGGCGGCCCAACAGAGGCACCTCCGCAGCGGAAGGCACCCGCGCGGAAGAAGGTTAAAGCACGCCCCCCTCGCTCATCGGCAGTGGTGTTAACCATGAGGCCGGGAGCCGAGGAGAGGGGCGTCACCTTCAGGTCGGTGCTAACCGAAGCGAAGGCCAAGATATCCTTGGCCCAGCTCGGTATCACCGACCTGAGGTTCAAAGTAGGGAGAACCGGGTCCCGTATCCTGGAGATCCCCGGAACGCACACAGGCGAGGCGGCAGACGCGTTGGCCGCCAAAATCGAGGAGGTCCTGCCCGAGGACACCGTCCGGGTCTCCAGGCCAGTGAAGTCGGCCGAGCTGCGCATTGGAGATCTGGACGACTCGGTGATGGTGGCCGACGTGGTCGTAGCCGTGATGCGTGAGGGGGTTGCCTGGAATCCTCGGTGAAAACCGGGGAGATCCGGCGCAACACCCAGGGAACGGGATCCGTGTGGGTGCGGTGCCCTGTGGCCGCCGCAAAGAAGTTGGCCGAGGCCGGCCGGCTTAAGATAGGGTGGGTGATGGCGCGGGTGCAGTCGCTGGACCCGCGTCCCCAGCGGTGCTATCGCTGCCTCCTTACGGGACACGTGGGAGTGCGATGCACCGCTACGGAGGACAGCAGCGGAATATGTTTCCGCTGCAGCGAGCCCGGCCATAAGGCCGCGCGCTGCGCCGCGCCATCGCCGAAGTGTCGGTATTGTGCCGCGGCGGGTCGGAAATCCGACCATAGAGTGGGCGTCACAAATTTGTGTCGCCCGCCTAAGGCCCGAGCCGCGGCACGGGCCACACGCGGGGGGGGGGAGTCGATGGACACTTGAGTAAAATCAGGTGTGCATCGACTCCAAAATTGACCCTAGGGTGGAGGATTGTTAGGGCAATCCGAAGCTCACCGGGGAGGCATTAGGGTCTGGAGGTGGCGTGCAGAGACTGTTCCCTGCACGCCTAGATGGAGGTCCCTTCGATGGGAACCATGCCGGTGGTCTTGGTGAATGCTTATGCGTATCCCATGGCCACGGCGATTATGTCGAGGAGGAACAGTCGTCAGGTTTTTTTTTTTTTTTTTTTTTAGCAGGTAGGAGTCCGGCAGTATCCATTCTTCCCTAAGGGAATGGTTCTCCATGATGGATTTTCCTGACGTGAAAAAAAAAAAAAAAAAAGGTTAGGTTAGGTTAGGTTAGGTTAGGTTTTTTCCGAGAGGGGCGCTCGACGATAGACGCAATCTCGCGTGTGCGCTCCCCTCTCGGAAGAGGCGACGTCCCAGGGTGGGGTGTTGTTGGCGGTCTCTCTAGATATTAGGAACGCCTTCAACACCCTGCCCTTTGCGACTATTAGGGAGGCGCTGCAGTACCATCGCGCGCCTCCCTACATTCGGGACGTGATCGGGGCCTACCTGGAAGACAGGTCTGTGCTCTGCACGGGGCGGAACGGCGTTGTAGTGTCGAGGGAAATGCAACGCGGTGTTCCACAGGGATCGGTTCTGGGCCCGATCCTGTGGAACATCGGGTATGATTGGAACCTGCGGGGCGCCCTTTTAACGGGCACTGACCTCGTGTGTTACGCGGATGACACCTTGGTCACTGCCCGGGGGCGGGACCTACGGGAAGCTACCCGCTTTGCCACGGCAAGCGTGGCGCTGGTCGTCGGCCGAATAAGGAGGCTTGGGCTCCAGGTGGCGCTGGAGAAGACCGAGGTCCTATGTTTTCATGGGCCTCGGCGCGCGCCACCTCCGGATGCCCAGCTGGTCGTCAGTGGCCAGAGGGTGGGGGTCAAGCCCTGTATTAGGTATTTGGGGCTTGACCTGGACAGTCGTTGGAGCTTCCGCGCTCATTTCCGGAACCTGGTCCCTCGCCTTATGGCAGCCGCCGGCGCTCTTAGCTGGCTGCTGCCAAACGTGAGGGGCCCGGGAGAAGGTTCCCGCCGCCTATACCTCGGCGTGGTGCGGTCCATGGCCCTGTACGGGGCCCCCATCTGGGTGGGGGCCCTAGGCAGGAAAATGTGGCCTGTCTTAACAGGCCACACAGGGCCATGGCCATCAGGGCCATTAGAGGCTACCGCACCATATCCGGGGAAGCGGCGGGTCTGCTGGCGGGGTCTCCTCCGTGGGACTTGGTAGCGGAGCTCCACGCGTCAGTGTACCACTGGCGCGCGGAGCGACGTTCCATGGGGGAGACACCCGCTGGTCATGAGATCGAAGCGCGGAGGTCCGACTTTCGGCGGATCCTCAGGATCGAATGGCGGGCAAGGCTAATGAGCCCGTCAGCCGGCCTGAGGACCGTCGAGGCTGTCCGTCCCATCCTCAAACGGTGGATGAATAGGAGATGGCCACTGACGTACCGCATGACACAGATACTGTCCGGGCACGGTTGCTTCGGGCGGTATCTGTGTCATGTGGCGAGGAAGGAGCCGACGACCGGCTGCCACGAATGCGGAGGTGTTGAGGACACGGCGCAACACACGCTGGAAGAATGCCCAGCGTTCGAGAGTGAGCGCCGTGTCCTCACACGAATAGTGGGGGACGATCTCTCGCTGCCGAATTTAGTTCGGAGGATGATCAGTAGCGAGAGATCGTGGCTGGCGGTGAGCTCCTTCTGCGAGGAAGTTATCTCGCGGAAGGAGGCGGCGGAAAGGGAGCGGGAGTCAGCTCGTCCCGCTTCCCTCCGCCGCAGAAGAGCCAGGCCTAGAGGTGGGGGCGTACCCAACTCCGCCCCCTCTATCCCCCACTGGGGCCGGGGTGACTGCCTTGAGGGAGGCAGTCCCCCCAATCCGAAGGCCCCGGAGGTGTGCGCGTGTACCCACACGCCTCCACAATGGAGTAGGGCGAAATAGGTCGCCCTAACCACAAAACGAGATGGGGCCTGCCCTACAACATCTACAGGGCGGGCCGTCGCCGTCGGAGCTGGGGTAGAATGCACTTGCGAATCCCCTGGCTCCGGCATAGGCGCTCGTAGGTACACCGTGTGGTTTTTTAGTGGGTACAAGTCCCACACACCACCTCGCCATCCCTCCGGCGGGGTGACGGTCTTTTGAAGATTTTTCCACACGTTAAAAAAAAAAAAAAAAGGTTAGGTTAGGTTGGGTTGGGGCGTGTGGCCGAGCGGCTAGGACAATGGGTCCTGACCCCAACCGGGACCCGTCCAGGCCGTGAGCGAAGCATTCGGGTCGGGTCCGGTGGTGCCTTGCGCATAGCCGGACTGACTCACACCGCAAACTTGCACTGGGTGTTGATGACAGGAGGTCGTCCACTTAGTGTGAGAGCGGGGGTCCTGGGTTCGCCCGGGGCTGCGAGGAGCCAACCTCTATAAAAAACCGCTCGCGGTCGGGTCAGAGTTGATGAGGAGGACGGAGTTGCGGGCAGGAGTGCCCGTAGACGACGGAGTTGTCTCTGGCCAAGACTGCGAGTGTATCATCATACCGTAAACTTGCACCGGGTGTGATGACAGGAGGTCGTCCGCTCGGTGTGGGAGCGGGGGCCCTGGGTTCGCTCGGGGCTGCGAGGAGACAACCTCTATAAAAAACCTCTCGCGGTCGGAGTCAGAGTCATGAGGAGGACGGAGTTGCGGGCAGGAGTGCCCGTAGACGACGGAGTTGTCTCTGGCGAAGACTGCGAGTGTATCTTCATACCGTAAACTTGCACTGGGTGTGATGACAGTGGTCGTCCGCCCAGTGTGAGAACGGGGGCCCTGGGTTCGCCCGGGGCTGCGAGGAGACAACCTCTATAAAAAACCTCTGGCGGTCGGCGCGGCTGTCGACGAGGAGGACGTCGTCCGGGCGAGGAGCGCCCGCAGACGACGGAGTCGACGCGGCGTGAGAAGACAGCGGGAGGATCGTTGCTAGGCGTCTTCGGATGCTGGGCAACATTCGAGGAGGCAACACTACCGGCGCCTACGGTTTAACCGTGTGGCGCGGTAGTGCTTACGGAGGATACGGTCCCGGAGGCGCATCGCGAATCTGGGTAAGTATTCACGAGTGGGCAGCTCCCGATTTTAACATGTTAAGATCGGGAGTCCTATCTGCGGAGGACATCCCCGGGCTGCTCCTTGGTGCGGTTTGGTGGGCAGACTGCTGACGGCGCAGGGAGTACGTCGCCGAAGGTAAGTATGCGTGTGTCGCCCCGACCCGTCGGGGCACCGGGCGGAGCGGTGCCTTCAGGACCGCTTCCGTCCGGCGGTAAGGCTATACGCGGTCGCGGCTGCGGTGCGCTTCTAGCCCAACGCAGCGGCGATCGCGGCCTTTGCGTGGGGGGCGGAAGGTGTATTTTTCACCCGAAGCCCCAACTTGGACACTCGGAGCGGAGGATGTAGGGGCATCCGAAGTTCCCAGGAGGCGAGTGATCCGTGGAGTGTGGGCGTGGAGTGGTCCCCGCGCCCAACTTCGGCGGCTCCTTCACTGGAGATCCGCGGCCGGAGTGCGGTCGAATGCAAATGCGAACCCGCACGAAGGCGTCTTTCGTGGTTCATGGAGGAACACCGAGGGGTTTTGGTGGGTCGGATTCGTCCAGTCCCACAGTATTCGTCCGCTCCCCTTCATAAAGGCGGACGTTTCGGTATTGAAACCTTTCCCCTCGTTAAAAAAAAAAAAAAAAAAAAAAAAAAAAAAAAAAAAGGTTGGGGCGTGTGTCGGGCAACCTCCAAGTATGGGCCTGCCATTGGGAGGCTTCCCCATCCTCGTGGATACGTCCGCGGGGAACGGTGGCCGAGCAATGGTTTGGTTCTGGTACGCCCTGGGCGGGATAGTAGACGTTCCTTCGGGATACTGCTACTATGTCGGCCGATAGTCCGGCGAGTAGGTAGGAGTGTATATAGTGTATATAGTTAGGTTAAGTTATTTATTTGTAAATAGTTAGGTTAGTTTTGTAAATTCTTCTTGTTTTGTCTTCTTTTGTTTTTTCTTCATTTTATTTTTTGGTTCTTTTAGTTGTTTTAGTCTATTCTTTTCTATCCTTTGTTCTTTCTAGTTTTATTTTGTTTTCTTCTTCCTTTTCTATTTTTGTATGCGGGACCAAACCCGGGTAAAAAAGGAACAAAAGATGAAAATGGCCGAGCGTTTAAACAAAATACTCCAGGGAGGTACCACCCGTAAATCGGGTGGAGAATCCTCCACCGTCGCACCGGGTAAGCCGGGGGCGGTCAGCCCCGTGTATCTGGAGGGGGCAACCGAGGCCAGAGGAGAGGGAGTGGTTGTGAGTGGAAGAGAGGCAAAGGTGGTGTTGATGAGGGACGTTACTTTGGATAGGAGGAGCAGGAGTGAGTGTGACGAGGCGGAGTACTACATGGAGCGCTCCGACTCGTCGCTCTCACTGTATTCTGAGGATGGCGCTGCAGGAGGAAGCGAGCCCAGCACATCTAGGGCTTCGCTGCGCAAACGGAGAATGATTGAGGTGGAAGTTTACCCGGATATGACATTCGATGAGGAGGTGGAGGTTGTGGAAGTGGTCGCAACCCCAAGGTCTAAGCAGAGGCCACCACCGAAGGACCCGGACTTGGAGAAGGCGAAGGCCGATTTGGCCGCCGCCACCCGGAGAGAAATGGAGACGGAGGCAAGACCCGCACCGAAGAAAGCGAGTGCTCCGAAACCGGCGGCGCGCCCTACCACCCGCAGACCCTCAGATGAGGACGCGAAGCGCGCCGACGTGTTAGTGACGGAGATTAAAGAGAGTGCCCTCAAGGTTCTAGAGGCTGTGAGGAAATCCGGCCACTTGAAGGGCACAGTAGTGAAGGAGATAAAGGACGCCGTCGCTACCATCCGCGCGGCGTCTGAATCTCTTGACGGGAGGACAGCGTCAACCGAGTGCGCAGCTCTGCGCCGAGAGAATTCCCGGTTGTCACGTGACTTGGCGGACATGCGGGAGATGATGACCGCAATGAGGGAAGAGTCCGCCAAGTACTACGTGGAACTGAGGGATTTGAAGAGGAAGACCATGGGGTCTGCCGCCCAGAGCTCCGACGAACTGGCGATGCTCAAGGCGGAGAGGGCAGAATGGGAGCGCGAGATCGCCGCAACCCGCAACTCCTTCCAGGAGTTAATGAAGAAGAGTTCGGAGGACCGCTTGGCGCTGTCAAAGGCGCAAAGTGAACTGGCGGCAGCCAAAGTCGCACTGGCGAACCAGCCACAAAGTGCGGCCATGGATGTGACATCCGGCGCCCAAGGTGTTGAGTCGAGCGAAACGCCACCCATCACCGAGGGCGTCGAGGCGAGAATAGTCCGTCAAATCGGGGACATTTTTAATGCCCGGTTTGAGAGGATAGAAGAGCTCATGGGCAGGCCTCAACAACCGCCGCCTAAAAGGACAACAGCAGCACCCCGAACACCTGGGGCAGCCAAGAAAGGAGGAGCAAGTACGGCCCCTGTAGCCAGTACTAGCAGAGCAGGGGTGAGCGCCTCTCAGCCGCCGCCCTCGACACAGGAGCAGTGGACGACGGTCGTCCGTCGTGGGAATCGCGCCAGGGGGGCGAAGGGCAAGGAGTCTGCCCCAGCCACCCAGACGCCCACTGGAGGGACGGGACCATCCCAGAAGGAGGCCCAAAGTGAGGACGCCCGGAAGAAGGCACGCAGGAGGCAGTTCCGCCCACCGCGCTCCTCGGCGATAGTGTTAACACTGAAGCCGGGAGCTGCGGAGGCGGGATCTAGCTACAGCTCGGTGCTCCGAGAGGCCCAACAGAAGATCCAGTTAGGGGCCCTCGGAATCACCGAGCTGGGCTTTAGGCTAGGAATAACGGGGTCTCGTATCCTAGAGGTACCGGGCCCAGTGGAGGAGAGTGGCGGGAAGGCAGATGCCCTCGCTGCTAAACTTGCCGAGGTCTTACCGGCAGGAGTAGTCGGCGTAACCAGGCCAGTAAAGTGCGCGGAAATCCGCATACTGGACCTGGACGATGCTACAACGGTAGCCGATGTGGTGGCAGCCGTAGCACGAGAGGGAGACTGCGCCGAGGCCTCCGTGAAAACGGGGGAGATCCGGCGCTCTCCCTCAGGGAGTGGTTCTGTGTGGGTCCGGTGCCCGATCGGGACGGTGAAGCGGCTGGTCGACGCTGGCCGACTCAAACTTGGGTGGACAATGGCGCGGGTGCGGTCCTTAGACCCCCGGCCGATGCGGTGCTACCGCTGCCTGCTCACGGGTCACGTGGGCCAGCGGTGCACCGCCAAGGAGGACCGCGGCGGAGTCTGTTTCCGCTGCGGTCAAGACGGCCACAAGGCCGCATCGTGCACCGCCCCTTCGCCACACTGCCCATACTGTGCAGCGGCCAAGAAGAAGGCGGACCACAGGATGGGCAGCACCAAGGGGTGCCGTCCGCCAAAACAGGCGGCGAGAGTGGAGGAGATGGAGGCCGAGTCCGGCCCGTCACCTCCCACCATGGGCCTCGCGGCAGCCGATGCGGGGGCGTCGGCTGTCACCTAAGGCGGGATGAGGCCAGGAGTTGGCGCGCGTGGTGTCCGCGCGCGCCACTCAGGAGTGGGGCTGAATAGCCCGCGCTGCCGGGGTTTACGGTTGAATATCATCATGATCCCGTAACCCCGGCACCAAAGCGCTCGGAGGACACCAAGGGGTTTTAGCCGGTAGGAGTCCGGCAGTACCCCCACGCTTCCCCCGGGGCGTGCGGGTCTCCATGATGGATTTCCCCTTGTAAAAAAAAAAAAAAAAAAAGGTTAGGTTGGGGCGTGAGTCGGGCAACCTCCAAGTATGGGCCTGCCATTGGGAGGCTTCCCCATCCTCGTGGACACGTCCGCGGGGAACGGTGGCCGAGCAATGGTTTGGTTCTGGTACGCCCCGGGCGGGATAGTAGTCGTTCCTTCGGGATACGGCTACTATGTCGGCCGATAGTCCGGCGAGTAGGAGTAGGCACCTCTTTTGTCTTTTCTGTTTTCGTCTTTGTCTTTTCTTTCTTCGTCTCTTTTCTGTAACTCTGTTTTCTTTTCTTCTTTTTCGTCTTTGCCTACTGACAAGTCAGGTCCGGTGGGTGCTTAACTGCGCAGCCGGACAGCACTTCGGTGCAACTGGCTTCAAACCGTAAACCTGCACTGGGTGTCGGTGATCACGTCTATCGGCCCAGTGTAGGAGCGGGGGCTCTTGGCTTAACCGCCCGGGGCCGCGAGGAGTCAACCTCTATAAAAAACCTCTTGTTTAAGCTCGGTGCCCGGCGAGGGACAGGTCGTCTTGTGGAGCACGCTGCTGGAATTTCATTTCGGCTAGCGTGTTCCCCGGGGCGTCCGGGTCGGAGGAGTAACTTCGGCCGCGAGGGCACCACCTTCTGAGAACTAGCCGCACTCAGTCGTATGAGGCCGCAGATAGGTATAGGAGCTCTGCCTACTGTGCAACTTTCTCCACTACTCGTGGGAACAAGATGGAAATGAACAAAAAAACCAATGACGAGGTGTCCGAGAAGGACGTAGCGACGATGGTGTCCGCGAAGGACGGTGTGCGAAGGGAGTCCGAGAAGGACGGAGTTACTTTGAAGGAGTGCGCGGTTGTGTTGACTAGGAGTGACCGGACTGACTTTGAAGAGGCTGGCCCCAGCCGGGAACAAATCTCGGACCTGGAACACTGGGCCAGAAGGACAAGATCCAGGTCTGTTCGCGGGATCGACTGCGGTTCTTCGCGGGCGAGCTCGTGCACAGGCCTGTCTGATATGGACCTGGACGAGACATTGCCACCAGGGCGCAAAAGGCGTCTCTCGGAGGCCTACTCGGATGAGACATCGGCGGCGGAAAACCGCCCACTTAAGGAGGGGAGAAAGAAGGCCGCCGGCCCTAAGTCACGGGTGTCGGCGCAAAAAAGAAAAGAGCTGGAAGCCTTCCGCTATGAATTCTTCGACGGTGGAAAGGATGCGCGGAATGAGGAGGCTGCAGAGATCATCCGCAGGGTTCGCCTGTCGGTTCTCGACCATACGGCGGTCATAGAAGACGCCATCCGGAGGTCCGGAAACCTGAAGGGGACCTTCGTTAAGACAATGAAGGAAGGGCTGACCGGGATTAATAGAGTAATGAGCACCCTGGAGAGTGACTCTGTCCCGAGTTCGGTCACGTCCCTGATGGTCCGGAACCTCCGGCTCCAACAGGAAGTAGGCGAACTTCGCAAGGAGGTAGCCAAGCTCCGCACCGCAAAAGCGGCCGGGCCGGCGAAGAAGGCGGAAGCACCCCAAAACGAGGAGCTGGGCACTCTTAGGGCCCAAATTATGAGGGACGTCGGCAGCACTGTCCGCACAATTGTGGGGAAAATGATGACCCAATTCATGGAGGAAGTCCGGGAAAAGATTGAAAAATCCCCCCTTCCCAGTGCAGTACAAACCGCACCAGCGGCAACAATCTTGGAGCAGTCCCAAGACGCGGTGGCCTCCCAGCCTGCCCCAGAAGTAGGAGGTCGGGGTTCTGACCCCCCAGGCCAAAAAGGCGGGTCCAAGGCCAAGACAAAGAGGGCGAGCAAAACTGCGCCCCAGGGACAACCCCCAGCAGTGGAATCCCCGGCTATTCCAGCCACACAACCCACCGCCGGCAGCTCGTCATGGGCTAAGGTGGTGAGGGGAAGTCGGGGGAAGATGACCACGGTCCCCCAAAACCAGGAGACGGCCACCGCCACTCAGGCGGCAAAGAAGGCTAAGGAGACGCCCAAAAAGAAGATGAGTCCGCCGCTCCCTGCAAAGTTACGGCTGCCCCGCTCTGCGGCGGTGGTCATAACCATCGGGGAAGCGGCTGAAAAAGAGGGCGTCACTTACGCCAACATCCTACGCGAGGCCAAGGACAAAATAGATCTCCGCCCCCTCGGAATAGACGGCTTGCGGCTTCGACCCGCGATTACCGGGGGCGGATACTTGAAGTCTCCGGCACTTCCAACGCCGAGAAGGCCGATGCGCTTGCGTCCAAACTCCGGGCCCTAATCCCGGAAGATGTGGCCACGGTCTCCAGGCCTTCAAAGACCGCGGAAATGCGGGTCATGGGCCTGGACGACTCTTTGACGCCGGAGGACATCGCCGCCGCCGTTGCGCATGACGCAGAGTGCAATGCCGAGGAGGTAAGGGTCGGCGAAATAAGGAGGAGCAGCCCTAAAGCCTTGGGGTCTTGCTGGGTCCGCGGCCCGGTGGGGGCCGTGAAAAAGGTCACCACTGAGGGGCATATCCGGCTTGGCTGGGTGTCCGCAAAGGTGGAGCTGCTGCGGCAAAGACCGCTGCGGTGCTTCCGGTGCCTACAGAGTGGGCATCCTAGAAGTCAGTGCACGCAGGAAGAAGACCGCAGCGGTCTATGCTACCGATGCGGGGAAGCCGGACATAAAGTCGCCGGGTGTGCCGCGACCCCAAGATGCGCACTCTGCGCGTCGACGGGCCGTCCGGCGGATCACTGGGTGGGGAGCAAGAAGTGCACCCCGCCCAGAAGCAAAGGAGGGAAACGGCCCGCCTCACAGGTCCCAGGCCGTAGGAGTGGTGCAGAGGAGGGGATGGACATCAACTCCCCTCCTAGCGATCGAGGAGGCAGGGGCGGCGCAAGTTGCCCCTAGATCGCTACCGGGCCGGGGTGACGACCGCGGGGGCGGTCCCACTCCACCGAACTAGGCCCGAAGAAGTCGCGCGCATGTCCCCGCGCGCCTTCCCCAGGGAAGAAGGGGGGAAGTGGTGGGTTCCGGTAGGGAACCCGCAGAGATGGGGCCCGCTACTAGGTGGGCCACCGCCGTCGGAGTTGCGGTCGACTATAATCTGATCCCGCGACTCCGGCACATGGCGTTGGATGAGGGACATCTTGGAGTTTTTAGTGAGTAGGAGTCTCACAGTACCCGCGGGCTTCCCCGGGGCCGGCGGGTCTCCATGACGGATTTTCTCCAAGTGAAAAAAAAAAAAAAAAAAAAAAAAAGGTTAGGTTAGGTTGGGGCGTAACATCGGTCAAGAAGGTCACGACGGCAGGGCGGATCCGGATCGGCTGGGTCTCAGCCGCTGTGGAGCTGCTGCGGCAGAAGCCACTCCGGTGTTACAAGTGCCTCGAGAGCGGGCACGTGGTGGCGCGGTGCTCGCACGAGGAGGACCGGAGTGGCCTTTGCTACCGGTGTGGGGCTCCCGGCCACAAAGCGGCCGGATGTTCGGCGGCCCCACACTGCGTGGTTTGCGCAGCGGCGGGTCGCCCAGCCGATCACCGGGTGGGGGCCAAAAAGTGCCCCCAATCCCGGTCCAAGAGAGCGAGGGGATCCGCACTGTCGTCGGCCCGCGGCAATGGCCGCCGGGGAGAGGCTGAGGTGATGGACACCGGTTAATAATGGCAGTCCATCGCCTCCTGCAGGGGAATCTGAACCACTGCGCGCGCGCCCAGGATCTGCTTCTGCAGAGCGCGGTGCAGTGGGGAGTTGACCTTGCAGTGGTCGCCGAACCATATCGCGTCCCACAAAGCGACCATTGGTTCGGCGACCCCTCTGGCCTGGTGGCCATTGTCGGCGCGGGCAACCCCGCGACCCCGCTCGTCAGCCGCCTATTCGGCGGAGCGGGGTACATAGGAGTGAGTTGGGGGGAAACCGTCGTTGTCGGGACATACTTCTCTCCGAACAGGACTCTCGCCGAGTTCGAGCAGTTCATGGACGGGCTGGGGGCCGCTCTGGAGCTATACTACATCAGAAGGAGCAGCCCCAAAGCCTTGGGGTCTTGCTGGGTCCGCGGCCCCATGGCGGCCGTAAAAAAGGTCACGGCGGAGGGTCACATGCGGCTAGGATGGGTGTCCGCGAAGGTGGAGCTGCTGCGGCAACGTCCGCTGCGGTGCTTCCGATGCCTACAAAGTGGGCATGTCAGGGGGCAATGCACACAGGAGGAAGACCGCAGCGGGCTTTGTTACCGATGCGAGAAGGCGGGCCACAAAGTCGCAGCGTGCACCGCAGCCCCCAGATGCGCAGTATGTGCGTCCCAGGGGCGTCCGGCAGACCATTGGGTGGGGAGCAAGAAGTGCACCCCGCCCAAAAGGAAGGGGGAAACGGCCGCCTCACAGGTCCCAGGCCGTAGGAGTGGAGCAGAGGAGGGGATGGACACCTCCCCTCCCAGCGATCAAGGAGGCAGGGGCGGCCCAGGCCGCCCCTAGATCGCTACCGGGCCGGGGTGACGACCGCGGGGGCGGTCCCACCCCACCACACTAGGCCCGAAGAAGTCGCGCGCATGTCCCCGCGCGCCTTCCCCAGGGAAGACGGGGGAAGTGGTGGGTTCCATAGGGAACCCGCAGAGATGGGGCCCGCTGTAGAGTGGGCCACCGCCGTCGGAGTTGCGGTCGACTATAATTTGATCCCGCGACTCCGGCATATGGCTTTGGGTGAGGGACATCTTGGAGTTTTTAGTGAGTAGGAGTCTCACAGTACCCGCGGGCTTCCCCCGGGGCCGGCGGGTCTCCATGAGGGATTTTCTCCAAGTAAAAAAAAAAAAAAAAAAAAAAAAAAAAAAAAAAAAA